GTTTTTATATTCCTCTGCCCCAGTGTGGCAGAGTGCAATATTGGTTTATTTCTCTGTCCTGAGTGTCAATTGCTGTTCTAGTACTGTAAATACTAAGTGCTCTGTATTATATTGTATTATATTACACTGTATCAAAAATCTTGCTGAAATCATTCTGTTGCCTGTCTTTTATTCTATCTTGAAGTTGAAGTTCAAAAAAGTCTGTACAGATGTGATCATACTTGTGGTCTCTACTAACTAGGCAGTGAGTTGAGTTGTCTTGAGTTTTAAATACCTTCCGTTCTTACACCTGGCCCCCTCACCTGCCCGGCCAGCTGCTCTGCGCATCACCGGAACCCGCGGTCGGGCAGAGCGGCGCTCAGCGGAGCGGCTGGCCGGCCAGGCGTGTGTGCGCAGGCAGACGGCTGCCGCCAGGGGGCGCGGCGCAGCTCTGCGGCTGGGCTCGGCTCTTTCCCGTCTCCCGAGTGGGAGCTGCAGCTGGCCGGGAGACGGCGGGGGAAGATGGCGGAGGACGATCGCTCTCGGTCGGAAGCGGCCCGGCAGAAGAGGCAGGAGCAGCTAAAGCGCTGGCTGGGCTCCGAGACCGAGAGGAGCGGGCCGGGGCAGCGGGACCGGGGCGGCGCGGGGGGCAGGCGGCCCCGGGTCCGGTTCGCCCAGGGCGCCGTGTTCATGGCTTGCTGCTCCGCTGGGGACCGGGACGAGGTGGCGGCACTGCTGAAGCAGGGAGCCGAGATCAACCACGCCAACGTCGACGGGCTGACGGCGCTGCACCAGGTACGAGCCGCCGGGCCGGGCTGGGCCGGGAGAAGAGTCGGACCCTGCAGGGGCTTTGCTTGGCTTTGCTTCCCGGACCGAACTCTCCCACCCGCCCTCCGGCCGGGCGCGGACGGGACTAAGGGAAAGTTAATGGGACGCAGTGGGGCTGTCCCGGGACGGGAATGGGGCTGCCAGCGGGCCGGAGACGAGCTCGGCTGCGAGGGCGGCTCGGTTTCGGTTGTGCGGGGCTGTGCGTGTGGCTGAGCGCCGAGCAGCAACAGGCTGGGAAACCTGTCAGACTG